CGGGGGAGTGCATGTTGAAAAGCGGCAACACCGCCAGGCCACCATGCTGACCCATTTAAAATTTAACTATTTCGGCAATTGCTGTAACGTATTTGCAACTAGAGCACAGTCATCAGCATATTGAAGTTCTGTGATGAATTTTGTACGTGTTTTGCCCTGAATCTTTTATGTTGAACAGACCGCCGTCGTATCTGTATCTAATGCCCAAACCTCTCTCCTGCAGTTTGCTGTCCACTATAATGGAGAGCGCTGCCATGAATATATTGAATAGGAGAGGCGCTAAGACACATCCCTGCCTAACGCCTGTGTTTGTTAGGAAGGGATCGCTCAGTGATCCATGATATGACACTCTTGACTTGTTGTTGTTATGGAGGTTTTACAGATATATCAATTTGCCTAACGAACAAAAAAAATGCTTAACGTTTCGGAAAGTTTATCTCTTTCCGTCGTCGGAATACATACATATGGATATCACAATTGATAAGGGTCAAAGGAAAATTTCACACATAGTTGTGTAAAATTCCAAAACTATAGAAAATATCAGTCCAAGAAGATACTTTTTTTAGTTAGAGGGGTAGAACCCCTTCTCATAAAATGAAAGAATTCTAGCACTTACATTCTTTTCTACTACATATTATCTGCTCACTTCATCTTATCCTTCCACCGTTTTTAATTGAAATTTTATTTAATTTTCTATTTCTCGGAGTTTCGTGCCACTATCAACCGATCTTAATTTAGATAATGTCTCCCGTCCATCCCTTACCTATCCAACCCTTTCAACCCACAATATTCCTTCGCCCTCTCCCTTAGATAAGACTTGACATCTACTATACACCGACCATAACAACAAGCCAAACGTCAGAAACTTCAACCGACATGACGCGACGTCCAAAATCTGGGCTCGCCTCCTGCATTTTATATTATTCCCTTAGCGTATATATGCCCTACTACGTATATATTTCGTGCTAAGGCCGCTATTCAACGAATACACGAGTTGTCTTCTTGGCTGACGTGGCGGGCTTTTTGGCATTTAACGGACTGACGTTTCCTTCATTATTATTGAATCATCCTCAGACGGTTCGTTGCGTTGGTGGAAAAGGGCTTCGAACGTAACCGGCGACATGAAGAAGACGTGTAATGAAATAATAAAAGCGTAATAGCGGTTTGTATGACATATGTTTTCCTAGCTGGTAATAATGCACGGTTTTCTGATTATATTGTTATCGTAAATATCGAGTTAAATAATTATTAACTTAGTTTAGAAGATACTTATGTCAGAAAGTTGTGGAAACAGCATCAAATTTTTCTTTAAGATATTCAAGAAGATTCGGGAAACGGCAGACCTTGTATAGAACTCTCGCTAATATATATGTTAGGGTTAAGGTTCGATATCCGGTTAATGTCGACATTACCCGGTTAATCTCGAAAATAACACACAACAAAACAACCAAAAACATAACCTAACCCAAACATTAACCGGACATCGGACTTTAACCGTAACATATACAAGAAAGCCAAAGCAAGAATAATCAATACTAATATATAAAATACTTAAGTGACTCACTGATTAATCACGCTCCTGCTCAAACCACTTAACGTAAGAAGCTCAATTTTGGCATACAGGTTTTCGAAATTCCAGTTCCAAGGGAGTGAAACTTCCCCTAGGAGATGCAAGACCTTGTCGTTGGTGGGGAAGCTCCTGGTCAGGTGCTGGGGGGAATCCCCTCTAGCACTTGGCTTGGTCTAAGAAGCATCTCACTCATCGTCTTGTCCCTGACTGTAGTGTCGTGGCCAGGGAATTGCACCAAGACATATAACGATACCAGGCGGGGCTACGGACAGCCTCAACCTTGGGGCACCCCATTGTATTTTACCCCTTACTTCTACATGCGGGGCTCTGTAGAAGTGGATCGACTGTCCCTAGCGACTCATAGGAACACGATGAGATCTGATAATAATAGTAATAAAAACATCACCGGTGAAGCTGTGGGGAAACCTCCTAGCGACACTGGGAACAGTAACAATGAAAGTTCCAAGTGGCCAAACCCAAAGAGAACTACAGGAGAGGTGGCTGACACTTGCGTGAGACCATCCTCCGCAAGTGGCATACAAGCTACCACCTCCTCCAAGTGTCGGGAGCCTACCTCCTACCTCTAAACCCAACAGGCGACACAAGCTACCGTTTCGTCTACCCGGCCTGGGTCGTAGCTCCTCGACTGTGAGGGACACGGGTCTCCGTAGGAGGTCCTGGGACTGTGTGATGAGTTATAACTCAAGAAAAGGGGACACAATAGATCTCTAAGGTCGCAGAGATTAACCCCCCTCCCACTTATTCTAAATTCTAAGGGGGTGAAATCATTTAAAAAACAGTTAAGTTTCCGAAAAAACGCTTAAACACATATATTTTATTTTGTTTTTTTACATATTTTAAGATTTTTTAAAAATGTATACAGGGTGTTTTGAAAAATCTGGTCATTGATTAATCACGATCCTGTTTAAAGCGCTTGACGTAAAAAGCTGATTTTTGGAAAACGGATTGATTTTAGGGTGTAGAGGTTTAATAAGGAGGGATTTTTCGAAACTCGAATTCTAAGGGGGTGAAACCACCCCTCAAATATTAGAATATTTTTTACTTAAAAGCCGGAGAGTTTTTCGGAAAAACTCTTAAACACGTATATTTTATTTAGTTGTTTTACATATTTTAAGATTTTTTAAAAATTTATACAGGGTGTTTCATAAAATATGACCATTGAGTAATCACGATTCTGCTTAAACTGCTTGTTGTTTAAAGTTGATTTTTGGCAAACGAATTGACTGTGGGGTATAAAGATTCGATAAGGAGGGGTTTCTCGAATCTCAAATTCCAAGAGAGTGAAAACGCCGCGCCCCGCAAATATTCCTATATTTGTTATTTAAAAAAAAGGTTAGTCTTTCGGGAAAACGCTTGGACACGTTACTAATTTATTTTGTTTCTTTACATATTTTGAATTTTTTTAAAAAATCACACAGGGTGTTTCAAAAAGTTGGGTAATTGATTAACCACGATTCTGTTTAAACTGAAGTACTTGACGTAAAAAGCTTATTTTTAACAAACGGATTTTTTGAAACTCAAATTTCAACGAGATGAAACTACCCTCAAATATTACAAAGTTACATAATAATATCGCCATATTGTTTTTTTACATGCTGACATAAATGCGAGAAAATTTTATCCAGTTTGTATGTTTATGGAAATTCTTGCATTACTTTATCATCACCATTACAAATGACTAATTCGACGCGAACGGAGTCGCGGGTACACGCTAGTGATATATAAAGCAACACCAGAGTTCCCAATTGGCAAAAGAGTATGACATTTAACGGAGGCACAATATCCCCAAAGTTGTTTACAGCAACACTAGAAGAAATCTAGAACTAATCCCATACCCAATAGGAGACCGAAGATAAATATTACCAACAAACGTTTTTTTTTCTCTTTTTTCCTCAATGGAATACATGTTTTTATGTTTTAATTGTGTTATAATAAGTAAATAGAAATGTTTTAATTATTTTGACCAGAACTTTTGATTGGCGTTGTTGACAGGTGACTAGTTCGAAATTTCTACACAGATAGCGTTAAATCGAAACATTTTGGATACAAGGTTTCCATTTATTGTCGATTCATTTTCGAAACAGGAGTTTCTCTCTTTTTAGACGCAAATATGATATAATGTAGATGATTTGTGTCCGACACCATGTCAATTTTATAAAATAATGAACTAAAATTCCGCTATGTTGGCTAGTGATAACGTTTTTAACTAAAAATATATGTTTTTATCGGCTGTTGAGCTTTTAAACTCACAAGAACGCGTTCTACTTACGTTAATTATATATTTTTATTTTCAGAACCATGATATAGAAATAAAAATAAATTTACTATATTTCAAACAAAAATATTTTGTAGCAACAAATAATGATATATAGAAGGGGCGTTAAAAATATGAAAGTACATTAAATTAAACGATCAATTTGCTTTGCTAGACATTTCTTGTGCGAGAAAACCTAAAAACAAAGATTTTAAGACAAAAAAATTATGGCGGAGGTCGACATTGTTGATGGTTGTTTTCATTTTGAAATCCACACACAGAGAGACTATTTTAGTTTGATACTTTGTTTCTTCACATTTAGAAATGGTAGCTGTGAAGAAATGGTGGCTGAAAAAACGGGAACATCTTGGACCCAAATTGCAGAAAATGTTTTGAAACTGTTTCTCTAAAAGTTTTGATTCCGCATCGAAACATTTTAGGAAACAGCTAGTGCAACCACATTAGGAACACATGTAATAAAGCCATATAAAATATATAGGTTTCGAAAATGATACCAATTTGTGGATTACCGTTTCCATTTTGTGTCAAGAAACAGAGACACGATTATTAGAAACATTACTTAAAATTTGTCCAAAAATGCTACTTGGGTAGAATGGGTCTTGTAAACGGAGTAGTAGGCCTCCAATTTAAGATCCAGTTTCAGTACTAAAAGTGACATAAAAATATTAAAAAATAAAACACTAATTTGCCACAATACACCAAAATACTATAATAGCTAATCATGTTATGTTAGGATCATCAGCTAGCAGATGATTAACACTAAGATTAGTAAAACTATGTTTTAAGCATCTGCTTGATGCTGATGATACTATCATGGTTAACGAAACGCCCATCCAGTGCAAAAGTAAAGTGTTTTGGTTGGTGTATTGTAGTGAATTAGTGTTTTATTTTGCTGTTGTAACACTTAAGATTCCAACCCCAAACTGTAATCTTTAAAGGTGTTAGTTTTTATATGTAATAAACTGCAAATCAGTTACTTATCGAATCCACGTCCATATCTGATTTTACCTTGGCGTGTAATATGTAATATCGTCTCCCCACCCCTACATTTCCTGTTAACCATACCACTTCGCCAACATGAATATGCGTAAATTTTGTCGGTTTAATAACATTTATCTTTATTTTCTTTTGCAGGGATCGCCTTTATCGACTGAACTTAAGCAATATCAACCAATCAAGCTGTGAGGTGAGTGTTGTTGCCAAGTAATGTAATTTTCTCTCGGATAGAGTCAGAGGCGTAGTCTTATAAAGATCGTTTAATCTTTCGCATAAAACTACCTTTTAGCTAACTAGCTCGAGCCTTTAGGGCGTAAAGAAGTTTGTAATAATTTCTGCTATAATAAATTTGAAAACCATATTATTTTCACTAATCTATTATTCATTATTAAAACTTATTTGATAGGAAAAGTTTGAAAGTAATATAGATAATTATTTTTTTCCATAGCAACTGTTAAAATTGCCTTCTATCTATCAACAAGGATAGATTAAAAAATGTATTTCTTCTCGCACGTTTTTTAATTGCTTCCATTTTTGAACATTTTTGTATTCCTTTTCATAAGTTATTCGGGATTTAAATGGAAGTAGTTTGGATATGGCGTTTGTCGCCACAACCTGATTATCTGTTGGTAATTTACTTATTTCGTTTTGAGCCATTTCTGGCTCCAAGTCAATCAACAATCGACACGAAAGAGAATTAAAAAATATTGACTCAAAACTAAAGAGACAGCTTTATTTATTTGTCAAATTACATAGAAACCAACGCCAACCAAGCCCAATATTTTTTTACTCGTAATAAATTCCTTGAAATACTAATTTCTGAATATTTTTTAAAACGTACCTCGCTATCGAAAAAATATTGTTTTATACACGACGATAAAATTGCATTATAAAATACCATTTTATCGTCTTATATAGAAAATAAGTATTAATCAAAATATTTATATCTACTTCCCTGTGTTCCCCTGGGTCGTAACCCCTTCCCCTCTGCCACCACACCACACGTTTTCCTCCGGCAACCCCCCTCTTCACCACCCCTACTCAACTGCGCCCATGAAATACAAGTGTAATTATATTTAACGCCCTCTGCCGTTCGCGTCTCGCGTTACTAGATTAAACACGTACTGCATATGGGGTAAGAAGACGGGGCCGTAAAATTCGAACGAAGACGACCTCCTCGCACGCCCATAACCAAACTTTACACCGGCATCTTTCTCTATTAAACCCGTTACTCTTAAACTTATTTAGCTTAAAGCGTGTTCTACAGGGAATCTAACGCTTATTTGGTATTGTGTAGTTTCTGTGATATTTTGGCGTTTTAAATGGTTTGGAAATTTAAAAAATAATTTTTATATTGAAATTCTTTTTACTGAATGTGTTAACAGCAACGGACTAATGGTGAAAGAAATAAAAATTAATGAGTCAAAGCATTTCAACAAAATATATACAGGATGTCCCACTAAGAACTAAAGATACTATGAGAAATCACCACATCACACACCCTGTAGAAGTTAGAATATTTTTCTTAAATACACTCAGATGCAAAAAAAACGCAACGGAGACATTTTTCGTCAAATTTAAAGTGTTATTTTTAGACCTATTTTCATGATTTTTTTTAGCAAGCTGTATATAATTGTATCAACTTCAAATTCGTAAACTCAGTTTTTTATAAACTTCAGTATTTGTACAGGGTTAATACCGTTCAGTTCCGATTACATATTATACAGGGTTAATCGAGGGGTTGTTTTTTTTTTACTTTAACTTTAAAACACCCTGTGCAATAAGTTTATGTGTAAATTTTCCTAAAATATAATTTTAAGGTCAGAACCATATCTCCTGAGCATTTTGTTTTTTCGATATTCGATTTCAATAGACGCCTTGGTTAACTTTCTAGCGCAATGAACTTGCCACCAACAATTTGCAATTTTTTCAATTATCATTTCCTTTTGAAGTATTTTTTAATATGACAAAGCGGCTTTGGTGATTATTGTAAACTATATACTACTATGAACTGCCCATCATATTCGACATTTGGAAAATACCTGGCAGAAGGGTTAGAGGTCGCGAAGCGGTACCAACTTCATTAAATGATCTTTGCTTGGTACTTAAAGAAGAATGGGAAAACATAGTGCAATATGATATATACCGAGTGTCAAAAGTGGCTCATCCCTACAACTTTTTTATTTTTTTAGATAAAAAAGGAGATTTGGTATGTTAGTATATGACATAAATTAGAATTGATTGACATATTCAATTGTTTTCTGTCACTTCCTGTTTCACCGGAAATGACTACAACTTTTGATTTTTAAATGGCACACTCGGTTTTTTACTTTATTGGATAGAAAAAACATTCTGAATAGAATGACATATCATATTTCAACTCTTGACGTTTTCGCTTAAAACAATATTGAATTTTAAATTTCAATCTAGAGTGCCATGGCTGTGTTAAAAACACTATTTTTTAATCAAGGAATCTTCGAAAAATAGATTTGATCGTCTAATTTTATTCGTGTTTTATCTTGGCCGGTTACCCAAATCGTATTTTTAATCATATTTCAATTTTTCCAAATTGAACGAGGGTGGCTCATTAACATATTTGGAAAAAGCATTTCTTAGGAATAATTTGGTACCACACACTTGGTATTTCGAGTCAAATGTTTGTTATTAATCGCATGTTGCAATTTCAAATAAACCATATTTGAAAATGTCAAAAGTTGACATATGATAGTTTGAGTATGAGTGAGTCACTTTTGAGACGCACCCGGTATACAGCCTTAATGACAGTATGGACAGACGTATACAGGCAGTCACAGCAGCCAAGGGTGGCAATACAAAATATTAAGGTATCTTTTACAATTTTTTTCCTGTTTGTATATTTGAGTATTACAGATGTTTTCTTTAATATCGTTAGTTCTGTTATCGTTATTAATGTTTATTAAAACCAGGACTGTATTGTTAGTTTTTTTTTTTAATTTAGTACAGAATTTCCAATGCAGCGTAATATGACGTAAAGACAATAGTCACCAAATCCATCTCGTCATATTAAAAAATTACATAAAAAAATAATGATAATTGATAAAATTGCAAATTAATCGTGATCAGTTCATTTCGCTCTTAAAAATTAACCAAAGCATGTATTGAAATGAATCAAAAAACAAAATGCTCAAGAGTCATGGTTCTGGCCGTAAAATTGTAATTTAGGAAAATTTACACACGAAATTATTGCACAGGGTGTTTTAAAATTACGATAAAAATACAACCCCTCGATTAACTCTGTATAATATGTCAAATACTACAGTTTATAAAAAACTTAGTTAACGAATTGAAGTGGATATAATTATATACAGTTTGTTAAAAAAATGCATCTGAGTGTTACATCCTAATACACACTTCAGGTTTGAACTTAACCAAAATTCTTAAATTTTTTGTTGTAGGAGCTACAGATGCCCGACGCACTATTGCCAAACCCTGTATTGTGCAAGTTAAAATAGTCAGCAATAGAACAATATTTCAAGTAATGGCCGAATTAAAGGCAATAATCTGCTAACTAACAAAGAAGTTCGACTCAAATTCATCGGTAAATCCAAAACTGCCAAAACAAACAGGATTACGATCCTTGACACGCCATTGGCGATGTTTATGTCGTACAACAACGCCAACAGACATCAGAAATATTCATCATATCGCGTGATGGCCCCCCTAATAACCGAAAATAACACGTCTGCAGCCCGGGTTAGATCCGTAGACTGCATGACTGCACCAACTCCCCCAACCCGTGGCAAGCTTGGTTTATTATTATAATTGGAAGGACCCAGCCTAACTTTGGACCCTTCAGCGTCTCGAATGCACGCGAACAGAGTTGCGGGCCAATGAGGAAAGATAAAACAAAAGGAATTGGATGCAGTTCTGGCGATAATTCGATGTTCGTTTATTAGTTTAAGCCACGAGATCGCATCGGTTGGAGCGTGTTTTGGAGGACAGTGTAGACACGAGGGTACGGCAGTTTATCATGTACTGATAAAAATTCAAACTTACAAGAATTTCTTACAAAACCATGAGGTGCGCCTGTCACGATTTTTTGTTAACGAGTTATAAAATTCACAAAAAAAAAAGAAGAAAACTGCCTTAAAATAATTAAACTTCAACCCATAGATAAATGAAACAAGTTTAGATTGGAAAGTGCCCATAAGGACAATGTAAACATTATTTGCGGCGCTATTCTTGCAACGGTCGCGACCCAAAGCTTTTGAAAATTTCGGAGCGGTTCGGCTTCTTCCGGAATTATATCGCCAAATATTGTTTATTCAAATATATTATTATTTTCGTTTAATTTTATAAATAAAATACAGTGTGTTGCATACAAGAAACTTTATTTTATATAAGAACATGTACGAAATACCTATGAAACATCGGAAACGGACGTTATGCCACGATCCACGATAGTTTATTCTACGGGAAAAAAAATTGTTTTATACCCGACGATAAAATTGCAGTATCGTCTCCCGAAATCAATTCACTCGAGATTTCCTCGCTCGTGAATTAATCTTTTCGGTCGACAATACAATACCATTTTATCGTCTTGTATAAAAAATAACTATTAGATAATACCGTAAAATGAAAAAAATCATACTAAGAATGTAGGGATATCATTTTATTAAAGTTAAAAATAAATGTTTTGAATAAACAACCACATATTTGTAGGCCGATTCTTTCTACTTCGATTGAAACGAAGTAGTCACACTAGTTATTTCTAAATTTGGTATATTTGCAGAAGTGTTTGTGCATTTTTTGTCAAATGTATAAAAAGCACCTAGAATCAGTTGTTCGAATTTAACCTGTACTGGCTATGTTTCTATGATAACTGCCCAGATTTCATTCAAATAACTCTGTTTAGTATTAAACGACATTATGGAGCGTAGACATCTTAACAGAGACGAAATGCTAAGGGCCATGGGTATGCTCGAAGCTGGAATGCGCCAAATCGACGTAGCTAGAGCATTAAATACAACGCAAAGTGTAATATCGCGATTAAGTGCACGCTACCGTGAAAGTGATGATGTTGCTGAAAGGCACACAGGGCGACATCGCATTACTACCCCTCAGCAAGATCATTTTTTACAATTAAATGTTCGACGCCGACCGAGTCTTACAGCACCAGAGCTTAGTTTAATTCTCCAGGAAACACATAAT